GTGTTCCCAAAGTGTCTGCCGCCAGCGCTTTGGTTTACGTGATGCTTGTTTGTTTCTCATAAATCCATCCCAAAAACCTGCCGCCTGTATGGATTTCGCCTCACTGCGGGGTTGCCCATCAGACGTTGGGGAAGTCATCCCCGCGAAGGACTCCTCGGGGTAAGCATCCATACTAAGTCATTAGTAAAAGGAGTAGCTACTCACACAAACCCGTACTCAAGGGAATCCCTACTAATTCATAAATATGAGAAGAAACCTGAGTAAGGAACCGTGACTGAGAAACACGTACGAGAGAATACGTATGAGTGCAATCCGTACTAATGCGACATTCAGAATCCTGACTCAAGCATACTCCAATAGGATCAGGAAGACAAAGGTTGTTTAATGAAGTGAGGACTTCGGGGGGGGATCTTTACAACAGAAACCCTGACCAAATGATCAGAATTCAAGGGATCATTCTAATAAAAACCCTTACTGAGGAATCCTAACCCCAAGCCTTCCTGCAGAACCCTTACTGTAGGAACCCTTACCCAGACACTCTTGCCGAGGAATACATACTACAGGTATCTTCAGTGCTTAATCGTTACTGAATTGGCCAAGGACAATATTAAAGGAACCCGTACTGAGAATTCCCCGTTTAACATTCCTTTGTCCAGGACCGTTCCTCCAGGCACCCTTACGACAGGCATCCGTACGAAAGAACAATAATCCAGGGACTCGTGCGAAAGCATCCCGACAAAAGAACCCTTACCGAAGGAATACAGACTAAGGAGCCCTTACGAACTTGGGCTACCAAGAAAGCATTACGAACAGAAACGTTACAAAAGAAACATTACGAAAGAACCATTACCAAAGGAATCATTACTAAAAATGCTCGCTACCGGGTTCCTGACTAAAGAACCCTTACTGAAAAGCGATCCGTAATAAAGAATATTGCTGTAGGAACCCGTTGAAATCCTCAGGAATCCTTAGGCATCCTTCAGAATCAGAACCACGAGGAATACTTGGAAATATTGAAGGATGCTGAAGGACCGTTTCGACTACTCCAGAAACCTTTGAAATCCTTGTGAGAGAGGGGGAGAGCGCAAGAGCAAGAGCAAGAGCAAGATCCATAACAAGAGAAAGAGCAAGAGCAAGAGCAAGAGAGAGAGGGAGAAAATGAGCCAGGCAGACTTCAAAACGAGAACCTCGGAATCCACCAAAGCCTGCTTTACGCCTGGAATCGTGAACGGACGAGACGGCTTGCGGCCGTCCCTCGGGGTACACTGGACCCCTCCCACTGGCCCTCCTCCTCGGTCTGGAGAGGGAGGGTGGCGACGCGCTGGAGCGTCTGAGATGGCCCAAGACGGCCCCAGGAGGGCCTCCGACAGCCCAAGATGCCGTCGAAGATGGCACGAGCTAGCCCGAGATTGTCCGAGACAGCTTCCAGCATGCCTCCGAGAGGTCTCAAGACCGCCATCAGACGGCTCCAAGTAACGAAGGATCCTCTCAACCCTTTCCAGAGCCTAAAGAACAGCAACGCGGGTTGCCTTCGGGCCTCTTTGCTTCCGACGGGCTCGTGAGGCCTCGAGACGGCTCCAAGACCGCCCACGAGAGCCCCGTGAGGGGCCCAAGAGGGCCCCAAGACGGCCCCAAGAGCGCCCAAGAGCGCCCCGAGAGGGCCCCCAAGAGGCGATGTTAAAAACCCCGAAGGGGGGGGCTGACACATATAACCCATTGGCACAAAATTTAACAAACAAAGGGAGTGGTTGAATGATGTTAGCTGTTCGGGTGCATCATTTGGAGCGGGTTGGGCCAACATGGCTCCAAGACGGTTGCAGCTACCTTCAGATGTCCTCTGGCAGAATCTGGTCAGACTTGGCTAAGGATGGCCTGCGTCGTGTCGCCAAGAGTCCCCGGGATGGCCCTAAGATGGCTCCAAGTGGCACCAGAGCCTCCCATGATGGCCCCCCGAGAAGCCAGAACCTTGTCAAAAAAACAATGTGTTTCAAATGTTAGAATCGTCGCTTGCCCGATGAGCCAATGGGCTTCAAAAGCTGTAAGATGGCTTCAAGATGGCCCACGACAGCCCAAAGAGGGGCTCAAGAAGGTCCCAGGACGGCCCCAGGAGCGGCCAAGAGCGTCCCAAGAGCACCTCAAGACGGTCCCATGAGGCAATTTCTTTCGGCTCCGACAAGGGGGCGGAAACTACGTCTGATCGATGGCCTCCAAGATGGCCCCAAGGGAACCCCCAAGGCCGCCAAGAGGGCACCAAGACAGCACCAAAATTGCCAAAGAATGGCCCCAAGAGCGCGGCGAGATAGCCCGCTCCCTCATCAAAAAATCCGTGAATGCACGTCTGGTGGACCCGTGGGCCTGCTGACACGGATGCCGATACACTCGGGTTCGCCGGCCGCCCCCCCCCCCTCTGCTGTTACACTGGACGCTCCTAAACTTCCAAACTTCCCTGAGCCATGCAACTCCCCTGGACGTCGTTTTCGAATGGATTGCTGGAATGCATACACATGTAAGCATATGCACATATACGTACATGTGCGTGTATATATACACACGTATACATAAATACATATACAATTGCATACAAACGTGTATATGTATGTGTGCATGTGTGTACAAACGCATGAATGTGTGTGACTGTGTATACAATGTGTAGATGTATATCTATATAAATATGCACACTCGCACATGTCATGGACATTGGTTCCGCGGTCTGTGCTGGTCGTTTTGCTCGCGCGGTCCCAGAAATCAAAAAAAAAAAAAAATAAAAAAAAAAAAAAAAAAAAAAAAAAAAAAAAAAAAAAAAAAAAAAAAAAAAAAAAAAAAAAAAAAAAAAAAAAAAAAAAAAAAAAAAAAAAAAAAAAAAAAAAAAAAAAAAAAAAAAAAAAAAAAACGCATGCAACCTGAAGAAAAAAACAGCAAATCAACAAAAAAACAAACAAACATAAGACAAACGCCGCATTTTTTTTTTTTTGAAAAAAAAAAAAAAAAAGAAAAAAAAAAAAAAAAAAAAAAAAAAAAAAAAAAAAAAAAAAAAAAAAAAAAAAAAAAAGTACACCGGACGTACCGCCCGGGGCGTTCGGAAAGGAGGAGGACAGGAGGAGGAGGAGGAAAGGAGGAGGGAGGAGGATTAGAGGAGGATGAGGAGGAGGCGGAGGAGGAGGAGAGAGAAGGAGGTAGGGGAGGGGAGGGAGGGAGGGAGGTATGGGGGGGAGGAGGACAAAGGGGGGACAGAAGCCAGGGGGGACACAGGGTCGAGAGGGAGAGAGGGAGACGAGGGGGAAGAGAGACAGAAGGAGGGGCCACATGCAGTGCCCACGAAAGCGCTTTGAGCTGTCCGCATGTCTCGCAATTCCTACTCAATCCACAAAGCATGGATCAGTGTTTGAAATACGACGACCGGCACACGTTCAAGAGACGAGGAACACACCTGTCTGTCCCCTCTTTCCCTATGACCACGACACAGAACAGACGAGATGGGATTCGCAACTCGTCCTTCAAATGGTGCGCGCGGCAGCAATTTGGCACTGGAGCCGAAAAAGCTGCGAAGGCACGCAGAATCCCAAGAGCTGCGGACATTTCACTCGCACAGCCGAAAGTGAAAGGTAAACAGAGACGGACAGACAGACGGACGGATAATACACATACCGACGTAGCGACAAAGACGTAAAAGAAGACTGACACAAAGAAGGATACAGAGACAATGACAGGAGCAGGAGATAGAGACAGTGATATGCGCGGGCGGAGACAGTGGCACTGCAGTGGCACTGCTGCAGACGAGACCCAGATTTTGAACTGAACAAGACAAAGAAAGACAGGGAGAGGGTTAAGAAAAACAAAAACAAAAAATTGGGGCGGATGGGAGAAAAAATGCAATCTCCAACCACGCCTGCTCCACAGGAGACCCAACTTGTGAGCCTTCCTTCTCCACAATATGAATCCCACCAGCCCTCTGGGCGCAGGTGGTCTCAGGCGTTTCCTCTTCCACACCCTTTTGCCCCTTCGGGGAGGGACTTACCCCTACCCCCCCTCCCTGGACCTGGACGGGGCGTTTCGCGAGTGGTCGGAGCCTCCAAAACGGCCTCGGCGAGGAAGCCAAAATCATTGGTTTTATTATGGTGTTGGCCCCATGTTGGCCTTTGGGGGGAAGCCCCCCCCCTTTTCTGATCGATCTCCTCCGAGATGGCCCCACGTGGACGAGCGCGTTCCACTACTCGCAAAGTCACTACTCGCAAATGGCCTGGATCCCCCGCGATGGATCTACGATACATTCCATAAAACCAGACATGTATTTCTCGGACGTTTGCGAGTAAGCACTTTGCGAGTACCGGAACGCGCTCGGCGAACACGAGCGCTCCCAAGGCTCCCAAGGGCGCCCCCAGAGGGCCCCAAAAGGTGGCCACGAGGCCCCGAGAGGCCCCCAAGAGACTCCCAGGATGCCCCCAAGAGGCTCCCAAGAGACCCCCAAAATGCCCCAAGGGGCCCCCCAGAGGCACCCAAGACGCTCCAAGAGGCCTCGGCCAGAATGCCAGAATCATCGATTTTACAAAAAGGTTTTGGCCACATTTTGGCACCCTGGGGGGGGGCACTGCTTAAGATGACTCCAAGAGCGCCTGGGAGAGCCCAAGATGACCTCCAAGATGGCCCCAGATATCCGAAAATGCCTCAAGAACATCCGGCCCAACCTGGCGATCTCCGTCGCGAAGCCGGCGTAGCCCAGATTAATGACCTTCTCGTTGGGCCTTGTGATCGGGAGGATCGCGGCGGCAAGCTTGAGCGCCATAGAATCGTAGAAACTGACTAGTTCGGACGCCCCGCTCCGATTCGCACCCTTGCTGTCTGGCAGAGCAAGGGGGCGTTTCCAGTATACGCCAGCAGTACTTAGATCTTTCAGATGTCGAGAAACTCAGATCACGAAACCATTATTCCCCAGCATACGTACACAGTGCCCAATCCCAAGACGTCCACCCCCTCGCTCTCCCTCCCTCGAGATGTCGCGTAAGTTCTGTCTTCTCACACCCCTGCAATGTCGATATGAATATCTCTCGGTCCTCCGTCCAGCGCCCACGTCCATGCAGCATTGCCAAGCCCGAGATCAGCCACTCCTATGACATCGGTTCCGCCTGACATGCCTCGTCACCGGTGTTCGGCGATGGTGGGCAAGCCCGTCGGATATTCTGGGTCATCACCGTCGTACCTGCCGCCACGCGCATGGCCAAGCTCTTGGCCTGGCACCTGTTCAGGGAGACGTTGGAGTCTGTCTTCTCCTCCTCATCTAAGCTCATGGCGGCTGCACCAGAGGCCGGCTGTGCCCGCTCGGGATTAGCGTTCTCCGCAAAATCATCGGCGGCTGAAACAAGGCCGCTTGCCTGTGGCATGGCTCGGGTTTGCGGCCCATCTCCCTTCGAGGCCTCAATCTTACCAAGCCGAATGCGAGCCGCCACCGCGACAGCTGTCGCCCACTCCCAAATGCGTTCGAGCCAGAGTTGGGCAGCACTTCGAAATCCACATGCATGATATCGACGGCGACCGACATCATATCTTCTCTTCTGAAGCTCCGCCCAGCCCTCCGTCCTCCTCTTCCTCTGTCCCGACATACTCGCCAGGCATCTTCCCTCGAACGAATGTATGTTTTGTCAGCGTCGCAACCGTCTGCCGTCTTACCCTCACAATCAAACAACATCGTAGAGACCACTCTCGTCCTGTAGCGTTCAAACCGATCGTTCACCGAATGCCAGTCGCTCGATAGAAACATTTCTATCAAAAGAAGCACGGCTGTGCTCTCTCGATTGCCTGTTCCGCAACACGATGTTCTTTCCAGGATTCTTCAAACGCAGTTCCTAAGATATCGAAACGTTGCACCCTTGGCAATGTAAAGACAGTGGGTTCCTGCATTCCATCGCCATTCGGCACGGATGCACGCAGGGCATGCGCCGGGGTCGGCGCGATACCAGGGGGCGCAGCCGAGCCGCAACACACACACACACACACACACACATTGCAGCGACTTGGGTTTCCACGCGAGGCCTGCTCGAACTAACGGCACACTCATGTCATACACCATGCGAGAAAGATCTTCCTTTGATTCAGCATACAGCAAGAGGTTGCCCACCCACGCGGAGTGTGTAATTTTTTGACCCTGCAAGAGCCTGCCCGCTTCCAGGGCAAAGCCCAGGCGGCCCTCGCTGCGCCGCGACAGCACAACACTCTGCCAAGCTACGATAGATACAGCAAGAAATATGATGGGGCCCTCAAGGCCTCCCGCACGAATGCAACGATCCCACATCACAGGAGTTGACGTTTAAGTCCCTGCAAAGGTGGCGGTGCAACTGTTCCTCGTCATCGGCTCCATCACAGCATACATGCGGTCGTCTGGCATGGACAACTGTTCCAAGCAACGCAAAGTAACTAGAGGCGATACATTATCGAGGGCCTGCTGGATATCGAGATTTGCGAGGACAGACTTTCCCGCTTGCCCCGAAGGGCTGCGTGCTGATATATCGTTTCAGAACATAAGTGATATCCTATGTTCTTCGCCCAGGACGGAAGCCATACAGGCGCACATGGCGTTTAGCATGTTCAATTCTTTCCTCAATGAGCATCACAAAACATGCCACGTACCACTTCATGACCGCACTTGGCATACATAACACACGAGTATCACGAAGGTCTCCGGCCACCGCCGGGGACTCGGGAACATACCACCTTGGCTACCGCCGCGTGGGCGTGGGCACCGCCCTCCGCGTTGGCCTCCAGCGTGGAGCACCAGAACTTCACCCTCAGCTTTTTCAGGGAGGCCTTGTAGAACTCGTTCAGCCGGACCCACTGCTCGACCCCCGTGACCCCCTGGTAGGTCAGGAGCACGCCGTGGCCGCGGATCTTGAACTCCTTGGGGCCTTTTTTGCCCGCCAGGCCCGCCGTCGCCAAGCCGGCTGCGGGCGCGGCGGCGCGCGGCGGGGCCGCGCCCGGGGCCTCCTCCTCCTCCTCCTCCTCCTCCTCCCCGCTTGCGCCCCTGCGCCGCCCCCTCCCCGCGCGCGCGCGGCTCTTGCTCGCAAGGCGCTGCGCTGCACGTCGGTATATGCGCGTGACCGGGGCCGCTCCTCGGTCCGGCCTGACTTGGAGCAACCGTCTTTGGATAAAAACATAAAACCGTGATTTTTCTAGTTTTTTAAGTTTTGCTCCAGACTTTTCCTTCATGTGTACCGAGGAGCGCCGTGCGAGAAAAGAGCTCTACGAGGCCCCGGCGTCAACCTGGTTGACGATTTACCGCCGGTTCCCAGTCCTGTATCTCGAGTTCAGTCCAATATACTGACAGCGCGTTCGAAACGGCCGATCCCGCCTGGACGCTTTTTGGCCGTAAAAGGTACCCGATCGAGCTCAGATCAAGATGGCGAGCAGGAATGAGATCGAATATCACGAAAAAAAAGCTCTAACGAATGCCTAAATTTCGAGAACAAAATTTTCAACCGACCAAAAATCACCAAAAGATCCGTCGAGATTTTTCTTGCCAACTAGCTCTCCGGCCCCGGAATTACTCTTAAGCTTCCAGAAATAACTTACTAAGGTGCGCTCTAGGAGTTATATCCTTCAAATCTTGGCAAACCCACCCAAAGTTGTCACATTGTCTCTTTGGTCGGGTCCGCCAACTGGCGCCGGCGGTGAACCGTCAACCTGCTCACCGCCGGGAACATCGTAGAGCTCCTTTCATGCAAAAGAGTGCTCAGAATCGAAGATAGAGGTTCTGAAATCATTTCTCGGAGAAATCAAAATCATGATTTTGATATCGACAAGAAGTTGGTTCCCCCAAGTGTTTTGATAGCAAAAGTGCGCCTAGAGAGCTCATATGAAGGCGCAGAAGCCCTGATAGTCGTCTACAGGTGCGCACAATCTGGTTTCTCAAAAAAGTCACATATCTTTTGAATATTCGTATAACCGCAAAAAAGTTATCACATTGTCCTTTCTGGTCGGATCGACGAACTAGCTCCACCCCGCGCCGGACTTCCTCCAGCTCATCGATGCCGAAGAGCTCTATGAGGTACTGGGAACCGGCGGTAAACCGTCAACCAGGTTACCGCCGGGCCCTCGTAGAGCTCTTTTCTCATTAGGCGCTCCTCGGTAAGCATGAAGAAAGCGTCTAGAGCAAGACCTGAGGAACTCGAAAAATCACGTTTTTCTGTTTTTATCCAACGTCGGTTCCCCCAAGAGTTTTGATAGTAATACTGCAGAGTTTTGATAGTAATACTGCAGCTACGGACCTGAAAATTTTACTTGCAGACGCGGTATAACCCACTACACGTGAGAAAAATACCGGTTCTCGAAATGAATTGTCAAACATCTTTCAAATATTAGGAAAAAACGACCCAAATGTGTCACATTGTCTCTTTTGGTCGGGTCGGCCAACTGGGCGCCGGCGGTAAACCGTCAACCTTTCTTACCGCCGGGGGACTCGTAGAGCTTCCTGACAATATATGATGTGGAAAGAAAATGCAGAGAACGAATAGTTTTTCAGCCCAAGCGATTTCAGATCTCTCGATGCAACAGCCGAACGCCCCCGATGCTTCTGGATTTTCTTTACGAGATCTGTAGCTCTGCTACAGCCCGAGTTACGTGCGTAAATCGACAGCACCTCTCAAGATGACTAACAAAACGAATAGTTTGGCAACCCAGCTCGAGTATCAAACCCAGTTCAGACCTCTGAATGCGACAGGCGGACGCGTCTGATGTCTGCGAATCGACGCCTGTGATTACCAGCCCTGCAGCCACCCTATTTTTTTGTTAGTTAAATAAAAAAATAAACAAAATGAGTTTATCTACCTCCCTAGTAGTGCCAGAAACCGACATAGCCCTCTCAGATGACTCGAACATACATTGGAGTGGAGGGGGCGTGATGGGGACAGGTGGATTATAGAGTTTTGAAATTGCTGAAATATTCGGAGTTTATGTAAACCTCCCACCCGAATGTTTTTCGCGAAACCCATGACCCAGTTCGTGCAGCAGACTGCACTTGAAGCGCTTCTTGATTCGACAAGGGGTGCGTCTGCCTCTTCTTCAAATCGATTCCTGTGACCACGCAGCACGTAAGCCCCCCCCCAGTCCCGGTTACGCGCAGAAAACCGAGAGCACTTCTCAAGATGACCTCGAAACAATACGATAGGTTTCGCGATTCTAGATCGGCAGCAGACCAGATCAGAGCTCTCGATTCAACGACAATGCACCTGATAATCTGAATCGGTTCTGCAAAACTATCAGGCTCTGTATCCTAAATAAAGCTCGATTTAGTACAGAAAACAAGTAGAGAAAAACGAGGGCGTAGATGACTCGAATTAATACGAATAGGTTTCCGGATCTAGCCCTCCCCCAAAAAAAACCGACAGCACCTAGCAGACCGAGTTCGACCTCTAGAATTCACCAGGCGAACGCGTCATTATTCTGAATCGATTTAGCTGTGCTTACCAGATCTGTAAGTCTTAAAGAAAGGACAAAAATTCAGGGGACAAAATAGAGAAAAAAAAAGCAAAATAAAGTATCATAGAGTAAAAAAAACAAAATAGAAAACTAAAATTAAAGAAAAAAAAGATTAGAAGACAAAACAGCTGTCCCAAAACTCGAGTTATGTTCAGATGACCGTCATCGCGTGTCAAGATGACTTGAAACGGCCGATCCCGCCTGGACGCTTTTTGGCAATAAAAGGGACCCGATCGAGCTGAGATCAAGATGGCAAGCGGGAATAAGATCGAATATCATGGAAAAAATACTAGAGCTCAAACGAATTGTTGAATTTCGAGAACAAAATTTTCAACCGACCAAAAATCACCAAAAGGTCCGTCGAGATTTTCTTGCCAACAAGCTCTCCAGCGCCCCGGAACTGGCACCGGCGGTGAACCGTCAACCTGCTCACCGCCGGGAACCTCGTAGAGCTCCTTCCATGCGTGAGAGTGCTCAGAGTTGAAGGCGAGAGCTTCTGGAGGCATTTCTCAAAATTGAACGTTCATTTTTTTCATGTCGACATAAAGTTGGTTCCTCCAATTGTTTTGATAGTAAAAGTGCGCCTAGAGAGCTCATAGTAAGACGCAGAGGACCTCACAGTCGTCTACAGGTGCGAAAAAACTGGTTTCCCAAAATGAATTGTCAAATATCTTTCAAATCTTAGCAAAACCGACCCAAAGTTACCACATCTTCTTTTCTCGCCGGATCGACCAACTAGCTCCACCCCGCGCCGGAACTGGGAGCCGGCGGTAAACCGTCAACCAGGTTACCGCCGGGAGCCTCGTAGAGCTCTTCTCTGCACGACGCTGCTTCGAACACATGGGGGGAGCTTTCTTACGCGAGCTGAAAAGCTTTAAAATTTACGTGTTCCTCTCAGAGCACTCGTGTAATACGAATAGTTTCGCGGATCTAGCTCGAGTAGCAGACCGAGTTCAGACCTCTCGATGGAACAGACAAACGCGCCCGATGATTCTGAATCGATTTCTGCAAGTAGCAGCTCTGTACCTCTCCTAAATCTTGGGAAGTACAGAAAACCATCAACGCGTGTCGAGATGCTCGAAACGGCCGGCGGTTCCCTCAAGTCTTTTGATAGTAATATTGCAGCTACGGACCTGAGAATTTCACTGGCAGACGCGGCGCAAACCACTACAGGTGAGAAAAATACCGGTTCCCAAAACGAACTTTAAAATTTTGCACAAAGATTGCAAAACCGACCCAAAGTTACCACATTGTCTCTTAAGGTCGGGTCGGCCAACCTGGCGCTGGCGGTGAACCGTCAACCTGGTCACCGCCGGGAACCTCGTAGAGCTCCTTCTACGCGTGAGAGTGCTCAGAGTCGAAAGAGAGAGCTTCTGGAGGCATTTCTTGAAAAAAGGAAAAATAATGTTTTATGTCGACATAACGTGGGTTCCAAGTGTTTTGATAGTTAAAGTGCGCCTACGGAGCTCATATTAAGACGGAGAGACCCTCATATTCGTTTACAGGTGCGAAAAATCTGTTTTCTCGAAATGAATTGTCAAATGTCCTTCAACTGGAACCGGCGGTAAATCGTCAACCAGATTACCGCCGGGGCCCTCGTAGAGCTCTTTTCTTGCACGGCACTGCTGGGTACACATGCAGGTAGAGTCTGGAAGAAGACCCAAAAAAAATAGAAAAAAACACGTTTTATGTTTTTATCCAAAGACGGTTCCGCCAAGTGTTTTGATAGTAATACTGCACCTACAGACCTGAGAATTTCACTGGCGAACGCAGGGTAACCCACTGCAGGTGCGAAAAATACCGGATCTCAAAACGAATGTTCAAATCTCTGACGAAGTTCGTCCAAACGACCGAAAGTTCGCACATTGTCCGTCGGGGACGGGTCGGCCAACTAGCTGCACCCCGCGCCCGAATTCCTCTAGCTCAACGATGCCGAAGAGCTCTACGAAATATTTTTCGCAAAACCACCCAAAAGTCATCAATGGGATCCGGCGATAAACCGTCAACCAGGCCGGAAGCCTCGTAGAGCTCTTTTCTCATGCGGCGCTGTTCGGAGCACTCGGAAAAAGCTTTCTCGAGCGTTAAAAACATTTCCCATCTTCGCTTCGTGGACCTAGCT